GCCTGGCCTCCCTCCACTTTTCTATCCAGAATATTCCTTATTTTCTGTGAATCACAGCCTCACTCTTAATTGCAGAGCTTCACTGCCTCAGTGGGGGCTGAACAGAAATTGGTGGCCACATTCCTTCCTTAATCCAGAGAACCAGGTCCCAGGCTCCCTGTGTGGTCCTCGGTAGTGGAGTAGGGGGTGAGGGAGGGAAGGAAGCCCAAGTTCTTCTCACACACAAGCTCAGGGATTCCACTCTTCCCCAGAGATCACTACACGTGCTAGAGTACCTGGTCTCAGAGATCTCTTGGCTTGGTCACTGACTGACCTATAATTTTGGGTCACAGGGATGTGTGTGGATTGGCCTGGGGAGGAGCTCCTCAGGGTCATGGGAACAGAGAATGAATCTTAATGCCTCTGAGCTGGCTCTGCCCCATCTGCTGTCCCTTCCTTCCTGCCTCCTGCTTTTCCCTAGCCACCCAGTTCCCTCCAGTGACCACTGCCAGGCTCTCTCTGGACTACCGAAAGCCACCTAGGGTTCTAGGCACACATGCACTGCCTCTTGGGAAACAGCTCTTTGGGGCTGTCCATCCTTCTCCCTTCAAGGACTACAGGAGCTGCTGTTTACCCGTGTCATGCTCAGAGGAACCTTGGAGTAAATGGCATGATGCTATTTCCCCAGCTGAGCAAGAATGACTTTGTTCTCATATGAGGGCCCCTAAATATTTGCACCCTGTTAGGACTGGGGAAAGACGTCCTCCAGCCAGGCTTACCAGGGAGTCCAAGGTGCTTTGGTAGAGTGTAGCCTTTGACCATCAGTCCTTGTTGCTGTAATTGGCCTCGCAGGAAGAAACCTTGGTTGGGGTCTCCCACCATGGACTGGTCTTGTTTGGTTCCCACTCAGCTTCATTTGTTTGGAGTAAGGCTTGTGAAGCCTGCTTCTCCTTGTCTGCCCCAGTGAGGAGTCTCAGTGGGTACTCCTAGACCAGCCTCAGCCACTCTCACCTTCCACTGATTATTTTCTGGTTTGAACCCCTCACCTACCAGCTGAGCACTTGTTGATTCTCCACCCTACTGAGCCTGCATGAACCTGGGGACCCCCAAAGAGCCTGCCTACTTATTTCCTGAATATTAGTTTACAAAAAGATTGACACAACTAAAATCTCTTAAAGCTGGCAGGCAGAAGCCCCTGCCGTACCCTGGCATGTCCCTGTTCACTGGAGCCCTGACTTAGCAGAAGGACTTACCATGGGGGATACGGGAAAAACTCTAAAGAGGATGCTGAGGTTCCTGGGAGCATCTTTCCTTCCTACCCATCCTGAATCGGACTGGCTCTGCTATGATTAGGAAACTTTTGTCCTATGCACCTATGTGAAGTGGGCGTTTTTGGCAACTGCTTTGTTCCACAGAACAGCTTAGCACCAAGAAAAGCATCACGTTGATGTCTTCACAAGGTCTCTTGATCATGAGCAAATTATTTGCTGCTCACCATAAGAAAAAATGAACCTTCCCTTTCGAGTGTGGAAAAATCAAAGGAAAAGTGAAATTAATGGATCAAAGAGAGCTTGGACAACAAAATGAATGAAGACACTTACTTTCCAAAAGCATGTTTAAACACTTTATTTAGAAAACATTCCCAAAGTTTATAAATAGTGCATAGCTATCAGTTCCAGCATCAACCTTAGAGAAGCACTTCCAGGTTTCTGACCATGTTTCTGTGACTGTGGCCAAATGGGTTTTGGAATGGAAACTTTTTCTTTTTAATCTGGCATATTGTTGTTTCTTCCATGGCCACAGTATTTCTCTGGAACATGGGATTACTCAATCAATGAATATTTATTGAGTAACCAGACAACCAATGAAAAAATTAGACTTGGGTCATATTGTATTCCGTATTCTTGGTAGATTTGCCTTAAATACTTAAGACAATTAAAATCACTAATGGTCACGTTTGCTTTGGAGCTTAGAAAAAGAACCTACTTGGTTAAAAAAGGAGACACATGCCCATGTACAAGCAGATACATACCTATGACATTTGGCAAATAAAGAATTCGCACACTCAGTTGCCTCTTTCCAGTATCTACTTATGATCATTTCTCTCCATTTTAGCTGTTCTCGTTAATATGTCAACAATGCCCATAACACCCACTTGAAACTGGGAGCCATGAGAATTAAATTTCAGTCTCTTCAATTTCCTGTAGAAACAGGAAGGCTGTATGAGATTGCAGGCTCTGTAAGTCCAAGAGACTTAAGTTCAACATAAACAATGTGTATTGAGGAAAGCTGTATGCATACTTATATTTTTAGTAAATGGGTATTGTGGGAGTCATTAGTGCTATTTAACAATATTTCCAATTCTCCTATAGCTTGGGACGTGGAAAAATTTCACTGCTTTGCCAGTTTGCAGTTAGGGTTGGCCATGTGACTTGTTTTAGCCAATACCATGTGAGCAGAGATGATTGTTTTTGGGCAGATGCACAACTTTCCATGTTCCTTCCCATTTCCATGGCAACTGGTGATGTTCCAGTTCACAGAAACTCCATTCACATGGATCTTTAAGTGAGGATAATATAAAAAAGTGTCCTCTGCTGACCTGAAATGGACACAGGCAACAAATAATAATTCATTCTAGGCCACTAAGATGTTGAATTTTTTTTTTTTCCTGCAGTGTAACCCTGCATATGCTGAATAACACAGAAATTGGTACATAGAAGTGGGCTATGGTTTTAACTAAAGATCTAAAATAAATTATATTGGCTTAAGGTCCAGGTATTGAGTGGCAGGAAACTGTGCATGCAGTAACTTAGGATGTAGATTATTCTCCTGATAAGCTTTTGCCTCTAGGAGAAGAGATTGAGAGAGAAGATTATTGTTAGTATAACAGTATGTGCTTCGGTGATGGCTGTTTTTGGCAAGATGTTACAAGAAAGAGGTAAGCTCAAAAAAAAATTGGCTCATATTCAAGCAGGAATGTCAGCAAATAGAGTTCAGGGACTTATAAGCCTGAAGGAAGACTCCATTCTAAATAGCAAATTATAAAATTGAGAAAAACTTCAGGAGCAGGGACCAACCGAAAGTCCACCATGCATGAAAAAACACAGTAAGGATGCCATCCTCACGCTTACTGTTGAAACCTGTGAATACAGATGTTTCTGTGTAACAGTTCATTTAGTGATATCGTGTCCAAAAAACTACCTTCACTTGTAGAAAATGACTCAGGGAAAAGAGATTGTGTATGTGGTTCTCTCATTGAAGCCTGAAAGCATCAGGAAATTGAAATTAAAATGATAAAGAGGGGTGGGAACGTAAAAGCCAAAAAAAAAAAGTCAATATGAGAATTGTATCTCAAATTGAACTATGGTTATTGGCATATAGAGCTGGCTAGAATAAAATAAGAAGCTATGTTTTTGACAAAAGTGGCATTGACAAAAGTAGTATCAATCAGTCTGGACTAAAAAATATGGTGATTGTTTAAAACTTAAAATGGCTTTGGGACTCCAATCATCTAAGAGTAGGAAGTGGGCTGAAAAAGCTGTACCTCTCCAAGGAAGAGACATTCTCATCGCCCAGTGTCTTAGTTCTTTTGGGCTGCTGTAATAAAATACCACAGATGAGTCGCTTATAAGCAACAGAAGTTTATTTCTCAGTCTGGAGGCTGGGAATTCCAGGATCAAGACACTGGCAGATTTAGTGTCTGGTGAGGGCCCAATTTCTCATGGATGATGACTTTTGGCTCTGTCCTCACATGGTGGAAGGGGCTGGCTAGCTCGCTGGGGTTTCTTTTATAAGAGCACTAATCCCTCATGATGTAGTCACCTCCTATATTAGTCCGTTCTTGTACTGCTGTAAAGAAATACCAGAGACTGGGAAATTTATAAAGAAAAGAGGTTCAGTTGGCTTATGGTTCCACAGGCTGTACAGGAAGCATGATGCTGGCATCTGCTCGGCTTCTGGGGAGACCTCCGGAAACTTTCAATTATGGCAGGAGGTGAAGGAGAAGTCAGCACTTCACTAGGTCAGAGCAGGAGGAAGAGAGAGAGCAGGGAGGTGCCAAGTACTTTAAAACAACCCAATCTCATGAGAATTCTTATCAAGGGAACAGCACCAAAGGGGGAAATTTGTCCCGATAATCCGATCACCTCCCACCAGGCTCCACTGCCAACACTGGGGATTACAATTTGAAATGAGATTTGGGTGGGGACACAAATCATTACCATCACCTTAGGGTTTAGGGTTTCAACATATGAATTTTGGGGGAACATAAGCATTCAGACCATAGCACCTACAGAGAATGTAGGCGCTACAGAAATGTAGCTACAGAGAATCGTCATGAAAAACGAATGGTTCAGAAGATGGATCCAGGCTTCAGGAGGATGACTGGATAACAGAGCTTTTCCCAGGGAGCAGGAACTGACCCTAATCAAGGAACTTTCCCTACCCTTGATAAGAGCCGTTACAATGTCTGCCCAGTGGGACTTAGAATTGCTGTGGACCAGCACCTGCTGTATGTCTCTTACTCTCCTCATTTCTGAATAGGGCTACCTATTGTAGTTTTTCTGTTCCTGTTACACCATTAGAAGAGTGGCTGTGGACACCATTGTGGAGTGGGGAAGAACGTTCAACTTCTCATTTGTAGGTCTTTGAATCAATAGGTGGTATATCCTCTCTTGATTTAAAAATGGCTGTGCATCTCCCAAAATCTTGGGCTTACAACTAAAAGTCACGTCAGAATGAAATTTTCTGGTTTTATTTTTGGAGGAAAGGGTGAATGTATTTTGCAAGCAGAAAGGAAAGTGAACTGAATATTCAGTAGTAAAAAGCACAGACTGTAGTTATCATTAGTGCTGTTCACCAATATTCCCAGCTCTCCTGCTTCCAAGCATAAAAAGAATGTACTATCTGGCCCCCTTGATGTTCAACAGACCATGTGATTTGCTTTGACCACTGAAACACAAATGAAAATGACATGTACCACTTCAAGCA